ACCCCTATAACCCCCCTATATAACCCCTATATAACCCCTATAATCCAGGCAGGCAACTCTACCACTTCCATGCCTGTCTGAAAGGAGCCGCCACCTCTCAAGCCAAAGCCTGGGTTAAACAATGGGCAAAAGGGTTTTAAGGGGGGATATAAGGATTATAAGATGATTCTATAGGATACATAATAAGATATACTTATATCTGTGTTAGACGGGATTTAGGATGTGAGGCTTAGGGATTGGGATTGCAACTTTTGCAGTCTAGAGTTGGGTGCGGGCCTTAGGGCTCTAGGGTTTGCTTTAATGGTTTTTTTCCCCATCTAAGGAGTTTAGAGGAATATGAGGTTTAGAGCTTGATTATGTTATGGGTTTGATGTCCAGGCTTCAGGGTTAAAGGGTTTGACACGAGGCTCACATTGTACTTTCTTAGTACCTCAGGTCCCGTTTCATAGAGTCATTGGTACAGGGCTGCCAATTGTTTGGAGAAAGGGTACAGGATGATCACATCAAACAACGGCTGACCATACGGATGCAGGAATCCCTGACAGGCTCTCCCCTGCACCGACACCCAGGCAAATCCCTCATCATGCACCGCCCTGCGAAGCAGGAAACTCCTAAAACGTTGCCGCCTGTTTCCAAGTATGCCTCCAAGACGCCCAGGAATAACCATTTGTTTTACTTGCGTGGTGTTCTGAAAGTTGTGATGTATACATATATATATATATATCTACACATACATATATACATATACTCTTTTGCGGAATGTTTGTGTTGAGGATGGTGAGGACTTATACATAAGCATGGTTCTTTCTGTTCTTCACGGCTCTTGGCGCAACAATGCTGCATGCGCATGTGTGCTTGTCAAGACATGGGCTTCGAAGCATGGCCATATATAGCGTTCTATAGGGTTTGCAGGTTTTAGGGCTGACATATATCTATATATATATATATATCTATATATGTATACATACATATATAGACGTGGACGCAGGAACCTATGTATGTCCCTGTGTAGATACATCGCCTGAATTCACTTAGAGAAAACACTTGAAGGCGCTGAACCCTCAACCCTGTTCCAAAACCTTCTCCGGCTAAACTTGGCTCTGCCGCTTCAAGGTAAAAATCCACCGCAAACAAGGGCCTGTATTTACAAGTTTGACAGTAAACCAGAGAACTACCTGGGGGTGTAGCTTCTTAGAGGATGCCATGATGTTGCAACCTTCTCCCACCTCCGAGCAACCGGCCCCAGGTGTAGACCCGCAACTGCTTGAGCGGTCCCAACTTCCCTGGCGTCACCGGATGCCATAAGCCCTAAGCCCCACCCATGATTAATAAACCCTCTCCCCTTAACAGGGATTATAATAGGGATCCTATCATTCAGGCCCTTAAAACGAGGGTCATGGGTCTACATTAAGTCCTGAACGTCACTGCAACCTAAGTGAAGCGGACCCTCGGATTAAGAACAACACAAATGGCCCCACAGTGTGAGGCCACACCACGGCACACTCCTTGAGTCTCTCAATGTTCAGCAAGAAATGGGGGGTTTACGGTTTCCCAACATTATGGGTACCTTTTTGGGGGTTCCTATGATGAGGATTATAGTATTTGCGCTATATTGAGGTCCCTCTATTTCGGGAAACTACAGCGTACCAAATGGGCATGGCACTGACAAGCTGGTATGCGGCAAGGTCGTCCGGTACGGACATCGCCCCCGCAAACTGCACGATCATGATGCCTCAGTTTCGATTAAGGTTTAGGGAATAAGGTTTCCAGCTTTTGACCACAGCAGCCATCATACGCTGATGTCGACCTGCGTGTCAATCACCATTTCTGAACTGAGTGGCCTTTCTCTTTTGCCGCAGCATGATACTTCTGGATGGCAAAGTGAGAGAAGTTTACCTCCATGGTTCCATGCTCTCTCTCTCGCTCGCTGTCTCTGTCTTGCGCTCTCTCCCCCAATACCTGCCTCACTTGGCTGTGCGGGCCCATTCAACCCTACATGACAACTAGCCTGCAGCTGCAACTCGCATGAACTCTGCTGCAATGCGCAACAAGGCCTCACCCGTAATGTCGATGTAGTGAGTGCCTTTTTCAACCTGCTAGCGAGCTACAATCTCAACCGGATGACTCCAAAGCGTTGGCAAAGCTGGAGTGGAGAGCTAGGATGGAATTAGGGGCCCTCCAAAAATTGAATTTCATGGCTTTATGGTAAGTATACAGGGTCCGTAATGATTAGAACAATCTTCCCAGGAATACCCCAGACAAGGCCCAAAAGGCGCTGGCACCACTCGTTCATTGACACTAGAAATCATGCTAGTGATATGAATTATACCATTTCAATATTCGTAATCATGAGAAGAATCGTAGTAGTCAAGTGGGGTGAGCCGAGGCGAAGGCACATGCCCTGAGAACCTGCTCGCCGCAGGCTAGATAGGGGCCTTGCGGGCGACACACTGAGTCCAGCATTGCTCTATTACTATTGACTGTTGATATTACTATTACTAAGAATATTGCTAACAAAATTACTATTACTATTATTGTGAGTATAGCACGAATGCTAATACTACTATTTCTGCTATTGTTTTCAGCAAAGCAGGATCACAGGAGCAAAGCAAAGAGTGTGCAGATTCTCTCCATGCCTGCCAGGGCCAAGACAACTACAGACTCCTGAAAACGCGAAGCTGAGCATCTAGGATTTAGTGCGGTTTATAGGACATCATTATTAGGACCCAACCAAAACGAGATGCTTTAATGTTGAGGAATAAGCTGTGTCAGGAATTGAGAATTGACAGCCAGGCATTCACAGCTAGGCTGCTCCTCTGCCATCTGCTCAATCTCAGCCTTGCTGCCTGCTACAATGACCTCGCAGAGCATGCGCCCGACATGCTTCATCTCTTGGAGAAACATCCCAGCCTTCGGAAAAGTTCGACACTTGGCCGCCATTTTTTGCAGCTTGGCCTCACTCCTGACATGGGTGATGAATTTTTGGTCAGGGCAAGCACGGTGATCCTGCCTCCCAGCGATAGCCCATCGATGTGGCTTTGCGTCCGGCAATGCCAGCAGCGCATCCAAGTGCTCCACTGCAAGGCAGCCGCTGTACCCTGCAGCAAGAGTGGCATAGTGCAACCAATAAATAGTAGTTTCCATTTTTCTTTTCCATTATCCTTGTATAACTCCTACATATTAGGGTAGTTTTCGTTTTATTTTCCACTATCCCTATATTGCCCCTGTGTACTATAGTAGTTTCCATTTTATTTCCCATCATCCCAATTCTCCTCATGAACTAAACCCTAAACCCTAAACCCTAAACCGCCTGAGGCTCCATAAACGACAAGGTCATATGGACGCCTCTCAGGTTCGACCTGCCAGCGTGCAGCAGGCAGCAGACGGTCAGCAACTCTACTATAGTATAATAGGGTATATATTGGGTATATATTGGGGT